GGGGCCTTCTTCCGTCTCCGCCGCCACTGCCGCCGCCGCGCGCCGGGGGCGTGAGCCCCCGGGGGCCGTTGGGCGGGCCAAGTTTTGTTTTCTTAAATGAAGCGATAACAATGAAAGGAAAAAAAGTATATTGTAAATGAGTGTAAATTCATGATTTCAAACATAGAAAAGCTGATTGAGAAATAAATTAAAAGCTTACTCTCTGATTTTCAAAGCATAAACATCTATTGATTAGAGCCTTTTGTTCTTTTTAGGTTTTATTTCTTCTCTAATGTTCTGCTTGGAACTCTTCACCTTTCTTTCAGCTACTGATGAACTCTTTAAGGAATTTATAGTTAGGAAGTACATACCCAACGGCAGAAAAGTTTTTCATTCTTCAGCTTGAATCAGTAGTTACTCTATATGAATCATGTATTTCCCTGAATTCTGCTATCTTTGTCTTCTCCTATATTCTGAGTCAGGAACTTAATATATTTGTGGGATTGAATTCAATTTTTTTGTGTTTGAGTCTACTAATGAGATGTTAAGCAGAAAGGAAGGTATGTGTTTTGTTCCTCTCAAAACAAAATGAAGAATTTAGATTTTGGGACTAGCAGGTGGTGTGGTGGTGAAAGGCACTGGATTCCCACATGGCTGACCATGGTTCAAATCCTGGACCTGGTGGCTTGCTCTCTCACTTTCCCTCTCTCTCTCTGTCTGATCAAACTGAAAATAATAATAATAATAATAAATAAAGTTAAATAAAATAATTTTAAAAAAGAATTTAGATTTTAAGAAAGTGCCTTTATCACTCAAGAAGAAAAATAAACTCCAGATAATTCTATTTTTATCTTTTTGAGCAAATAATTTAAAGGGTTCTATGTTGAGTGATTTTCTTCTACATTCTCTTTAACCCTCTCTTCTTTGTTAGGTTTTTTAATTTAACTTATATTGCCATCCAGGTAGAGAATCTCTTTATTCATCCCATCAACCATCTATCCCCCTGTCAAGCTATCTGTTTCATACCCAATTCCAAATGCTCCTTTGAGATCCCTCATGAAAGACTTTGAAATGTTGTTCAGTAGAACTTTCTGTGATGATGGAAATATTTTATATTATACCTGTGCTATTCAGTATGGCACCAATTGGTCACACTGAGATACTGGGCACCTGAAATGTGGCTAGTGTAACTGAGAAACAAAGTTTTTAGTTTTATTTAATTTTAATTAATTGAATTAAAATAGCTACATGTATCTATTGAACAGCACAGAACTATTTTATTGGTGGGAAGAGAGGTGTACTCTGAAGTAATTTCAGTCTCTGTAAATTCTCACTTATAGTTGGACTATCTTATAAATAATATCAATTGTTAAAAATATAAAGGTTAAATATTAAACTTTATGGATTTTTTTTCAATTCATAGATATGATGGAAAAAGGAACAACAGCTCCTTTGATTCATCTCATTAAAGAAATCTATAACAAAGAAGGAAAAAGGGGATTTTATAGAGGTATCACTCCAAACATCATAAAGTTGCTTCCTGCAGTAGGCATCGGCTGTGTGGTTTATGAAAAAGTGAAACCAATTTTGGATTAACCTAGAAGTGAAATATCAAATCGTTGTCATTGCCATAATCACTTGATTGTAAGATAATAACCTGAATTATAAAGAGATTTTTCTTTTCCTAAAAGGAAAGAAGTATCCAATAATTGTTAAAATATTTTCATTTATGTATTACAAAATCTGTAAGTTAAATAATAATTTTGGCAAAGTTCTTTAATAACTTAAAATCCTTAACATCCACACAATTCTGTTTATATTTCCTGTTACTCTCCCTTGAATCCTGGCTTGAAACTTGTCTTGGATTGGATTTGAATATACCGTAGAGTAATACATTTGGTCATAACAGGAGTTTATGAGAACTTTTTTGTATTTAAACACTTTTTTTAAAGCTGAGCTTGCAAATATTTTATACACTAAAAGAAAAAAATCAGTGCATTTAAAATTGATATAAATAATAGGAGTCTTTGTTTCTCTTCTTTAAGCAAAACAGAAAGTTGGTTTCATAATTCCTGCTAGCACATTGTAGCTGGGATAATGGCAACATTTTTTTACTTCTCTGGGCCTTTTTATTTGTAGATGTTTGCTTCATTTTGGTTCTTGATGCTTTCAGTTTGTGTAAGGAAGCTAGCATTGAGAACAAATTAGTAATAGATTTTCTTTTCTCTTCTAGTTAAAACATTTGAGAAGAATTTGAAAAATTAAATCTATGATTTATTGCTTGTTGAAACAATTTTTATTTCAATTCAGGAGTTGGTTGGATTAACCTTTTGATATCCTAAATACCTGTTACTTATCTTTATGCAAAAAGAAAGTGTGGTGAGGCAGTGGTGATGGTCCAGTTGGCCCTAATTGGCCTCAAGCGAAGGGCTGTCCAGCTAAACTGACTAATACCAGGGTTTGATCCTTAGCCTTGCCAATCCAAAAACTTGACTTTATCAGTTCCTCAAAAATATCATTTTATTGGTGGTAGATTAACAATTACAAGATTGAGCTATAGATCATAATACAAAGTCATGAATTCGTAGCAGAGCTTAATATTTTCCTTTAAATAGAATATTTTCATCTGTTCTTCAGGGAAAATCATTTCCTGGCATCAGTGTACCTGGTAAATAAGTAATGATATGATTGGTGTGGAATTAGAACAAAGAGTTTTTTGAGGAATGTTTTACTCAGGCTCTTCCCAGTTGAGGTAGAAAGAGTTAGGAACCTTGCATTGAAGGGAGAGGGGCTGAGACCTTCAGTAGGAACGTGGAGAGAGTTGTGGGACTTGAGTTGAAGTAAGCCATAGACTATCCAAGGGAGAAAGGCAAATCTCATGTAAAGCCTTGGAATGGGCGTGTAAGAAATCTGAAGTACAGTAGAAGCTGTGCACATAAACTTTTAAAAAGTGTTCAGGTCGATGACACAGCTTGAGTAGTACTAAGAAAATGAAGTTCACAGAGCATTGGGGAAATTACAAGTAGCCTGGTCGGTTTTTAATATATAATGTGTAGGAAGATACAGTAAGATATAATAAGACACGAGGCAGCAAGTTGGTGACAGTGGCTTTGAATTATGTGTCATAATGACATGCTTTGATGTAAGCACATAGCTTTTTTTTTTGGGGGGGGAGAGGTTTTTTTGCTACACGTGCTTGCCAGAAAGAGAGAGAGACAGAAAGCATGAAATCACCCCCCAGGGGGGATGGCCATGCCACAATTCCTTTCTCCTCCATTCTCCTCTCTGTATCTTGGGCACGCACGCACACGTGCCTGGCGTGAGTTTAAGCCACCGGGTCTGGGACTCAAACTGCGGTCAGCTACATGGGAGTCCAGTGACATAACCATTATGCTAACTGCTGTTCCCTAAGCACATAGCTTTGACTAAAGAGGAAACATTTGAAAGAGGAGCTGATAGAGCCAGGGAGGCCAATTACGACATTATTTCCATCTACTTATAAAATGCTAGCTTCTACATAAAAACTTCTCAGATTAGGTATTAACCTATAGGCTTTTCAACTATTTTATCAGATATTAAAGTCTAATCTGTCTTTTTTTTAAATTAGAAAATTAGGGTCTAGTAGGTGGTGCGATGCTTAAGGCACTGGACTCCCACATGACTGATAGAGGTTCAAATCTGAGATCTGGGAGTTTGAAGATCATGTGGGGCATGTGTGTGCACCCCCCATCCTGAGAAGAGAATGGAGGAGAAGGGATTGTGATGTGGCCATCTACACTGGGAGGTGATTTCTCACTTTCCCTCTGTCTGTCTCTCTTCAGTGAGTACATGTACCCTATGGCAAAAACTTAAAAAAAAAAAAAATAAAGGAAATTACATTTCATTAAATGCCAGGTATTTTTTCCAAGTTCTTTTCTTTTCTTTATTTTTAATTTTGCTATAGGATGCATGAATTCACCTGAGAGAGAGGGAAAAGGACAGTAAGAAATCACCCTCCACCCAGGGGGATGGCCATACTTCCGTCTGTCTCTTCCATTCTTCTCTCTGAATTTTGGGCACACATGTACATGTGCCTGGCTTGTTTTTCAAGCCACCAGATGGGGGACATGAACCTGCAGTCAGCCATGTGGAATTCAGTCACCTTAACACCTCCACATTATTTGCTGGCCCTCTTTCTTCTCCTCCTCCTTCTCCTCCTCCTACTCCTCCTCCTCACTCTCCTCGTTTTTTTG